CTAATTGACCGCCCTTCACATGGGATGTGTCTGGCCCTGGCCCTGGTCCTGACGCCTGGTCTGGCCATATTGGCTCAGAGCAGGGGTTGCAGGACCCCAGGGATCCTCCAGAAATGGGTCCGTGTGTGCCCCTCACTGAAAGAGATATACTTCTAGAGGTGCTAATGACTGTGAGTTGGTCCCTGATGACTATGACCACCAGCCTTTACCACCTCTCTGAAGGAAAAGTGATGTGGTTCCTGCTCAGAGATCAGCACAGCAGGAGGAGCCCCCAAACCACCAATTTCTTGTCATGAGTACCTGGAGATGTGAAGAAACTCCAGCCTGTGCCAGGCAGTTCCACCAACACCCTTCAATCCCTTCCTAGATTCTACAGTCTCTTGGCCTTTGGCTTTGCTAGAATTAACTAAGCTTGGCTGGGCTTTTATTTATGATTTTATTTTCCACATGACAGCTTTCCTCACTAAAAGTGGTTGGTGTGTTGGGGTTTCTTTCCTGTTGGCCTTGACAATAACACCTACCTTGGTTTCTTCTCAGGTTCAGCCCTCATGAAGGAAAACATAGGGTTTCATCTAAAGAAGAGTAACTCTAGCCAGGGTTGGCACTTTTCCATGTTCATTTACCTCCCAGCAGCCCTGGCAGGCAGGGAAAGCTGGTTGCAATGGCCAGGAGTACTCCCACCGATGCCTCTCCTAGTGAGCATCACCTAGGCCCCAGCCTCTGAAGAACCAGGTGATGGAACAGCCAGCCATGATGACGCTGGAGCTCTTGGAGGTAGAGAATTTTCTCAGCCACGCTCAGGAGAAATCGTACACTTGCATGGTTTGTGGGGACAGTTTTAAGCACAAGGGCATCCTGGTGGCCCACCAGAAATACCATAAGGAGGAGATAGAGGCTGAAGGCTGTGAGAAGGAGGGCAACTCTGACCAGGCAGGAGAGCTGCATGACCAAGAAGCCATCAGAGCTGGACGGGAGGCCAGTGGGGAAAGCCATAGCAAGCACAGCACACAGAGTGATCCTGAGAGAAGGGAGAAGCCCCATGCCTGCACCGAGTGCAGAAGGAGCTTCAGGATGAAGGCGGATCTCACCAAGCACCTCCAGACTCACATGGGTGAGAGACCATTCCCCTGTACTAACTGTGGCAAGAGGTTCATCACCAAATCACAACTCAAGGAGCACCAGAGGACCCACACGTGTGAGCGGACGTACAAGTGCCTGGACTGTGGGAAAAAACTTCACCCAGAAGTCCCAGCTCATTGTGCACCACTGGATCCACACGGGTGAGAAGCCCTACCAGTGCCACAACTGTCAGAAGAGCTTCGTGGACAAGTTACAGCTGGTGGCCCACCACTGGATCCACACGGGTGACCGTCCTTTCAAGTGTGGGGTGTGTAGCCGTGGCTGCCACCAGAAGATCACTCTCGTCAAGCACCAGCAGGTCCACAGCACCAAGGGGGCCCAGCGGGACATTGCCAGGGCCACAGTGGCTGAATACACTCTGGCGAGGGAGAAGATCTTCCACTCCAGTGCCTGTGGGAAGGAGTTCAAGAAGAAGTCAGTTCTGGTGACCCACCAGAGGATTCACACGGGGGAGGAGCCCTACCCCTGCCCCACATGTGGGCGGTGGTTCCGGCAGAAGATCCACCTCGCCCGGCATCAGCGGACCCATGAGCAGCCTGATGCCCACATCTGCGGAGCCTGTGGGCACCGCTTTTGCAGCAAGAGGGAGATGCTGCAGCACCATCGGGGCCACCATCCCAGCAGGCCCCCCACACCTGCACCACCTGTGGAAAGTGCTTCAGCCGAAAGGTCGGCCTCATGGCCCACCACCATGTCCGCATGCGGGAGAAGGAGACCCCCAGTGCCCCAGGGGGTGGGCAGCCCCCCACTACCCTTGGTGGTACCCACACCCGTGGACAGTGTGGGAAGTTGTTCACCAAGAAGGGCAACCTGGTCAACCACCAGCAGGCTCATGCTGAGGGCCGGGGTCACCACTGTGGGGTTTGTGGCAAGGGCTTCGCCAAATGGGGGGAGCTGACCAAGCATGAGCGGACCCACACCGGGAAGAAGCTCTATGGGTACGGGCAGTGTGGGAAGCGCTTCGCCCAGCGCACCCAGCTGGTCACCCACCAGCCCATCAACACCAGTGAACGGCCCTACCCCTGCAGTGACTGTGACAAGCGCTTCAGTGACAAGTCACGCCTCACCATCCACTGGCATATCCACACCGGTGACCGACCCTTCCCCTGCCCCACCTGTGGCAAGGACTTCCACCAGAAGATTGCCTTGGTCAAGCACCATCACATCCACGAGCGTAGCAGGGACAAGGGAGGTGGCAAAAACCTCAGTGCCAACACCAACGCCAGTGCTGACACTGATGTCAATGGCAGTGCCAATGCCAACACAACACCAATGCCAGTGTCAAGACCAATGCCAATGGCAATGTTAAGGTGGCTGGCAAAGATGAGGAAAGCCTGGCTGTCCCCTGTCAGCAGCTCCCCTTCTCCTGCAGTGAGTGTGGGAAGGGCTTTACCCAGAAGGCCCAGCTGGTAGTCCACCACTGCATCCACACCGGGGAGTGCCCCTTCCTCCGCACCGACTGCTCCAAAGCCTTCATTGACAAGTCCTGCCTCATCGTCCACTGCCGTACCCACACTGGTGAGCACCCCTTCCCCTGTGCTGCCTGTGGCCGTGCCTTCACCCAGAAGGTCGCCCTCACCACCCACCACCAGGTCCACATGCAGGAGCACCAGCTACCTCCAGCCCTCATTCCCCTTGGTCCTTGGGGTGAGGAGCAGCCCTTCACCTGTGCCATCAGTGGAAGAGGTTTCCACAAGGAGATCGCCCTCATCTCTCACTGGCATGTCCACACCAAGTATGAGCCCAACCGCTGCAGCAAGTGTGGGCAGGTCTTCCCTGACAGGGCCCACTTCTGGCTCCACCAGCCCTCCCGTGCTGAGGACCGGCCATTCAAGTGTGCCATGTGTGGGAAGGACTTCAAGAGGAAGGAGATCTTGATTATCCACCAGCGGGTCCACACAGGAGAGGTGCCCTTCCAGTGTAGCAAAAACTTCTCATAGAAGGCCAACCTCATGAAGCACCAGCTCGCTCACACCCGCCAGGGCCCATTTATCTGCTCCAACTGTGGGCAAAGCTACACTACCATTGGACATTTCAAGAGGCACCAGAGGAACCACCTCAAGAAGCAAAGCCCTCCTGGTGAGAGACAGCAGCCCTCTGAGGACCTGGAGACCAAACTAGTGCCACCAGAGCCAGTGGGTGGCTACAGCAGCCCCATCATCGTGGTGAAGACAAAGGCTGATGCTGATGACTATAAGGTCCTACTGGTTCCATGATGGCAAGGATCAAGCACAGAGGGAGGGGAGGGCTGATGCCTGCTCACTTGGGGATGCATCTGCCACCAAGGTCTGCGATCCCATGAGAGCTGCTCCCTTGGGAACATCTAACCGTATTTGGTGGGACCCAGGAGTTGAAAACCTGTGAAGCTCTTGACTTCGGCACACAGCAATCCCCGAATCAAACCTCAGTTAAAATTGGCTGACACAATGTGAAATCTGGGGGTGAGTGAGGGATATAAATACATATTTTGGCTTCTTTTTTACATTTTATATAAGAGTCCTCATTTCAAGATAATTGGTTTGGGTGGGTTTTTTTCTAACAGGAGGGCTGAGAAGCTTAGGTTTTTAAAGCAAGTAAATGAAATCTGTGATTTTAGCTATATTCACATGACTCCGAGAGCTGGGACTTTAAAAAAAAAAAAAAGGACCAAAAACCTCACCAAGCATTATGAAGCTTGCCATCACCAACTTCCTAGCAGGAGTTGGAGCAGACCATAGTTGGTTCCTCACTTTCCAGCAGCTGATACCAGCACCAGCTGTCCTGCAGACACGTGGAGCAGCGCAGGGTCTGCTACCGTGGAAAAATTGCAGCCAGAAATAAGGGAGGATGTCATGCCCAAAGAACTTGGGCATGGTGACCCTGATGGCACCCAGGGAAGGGCAAATGAGGTCAGTAACACCCCTCATGGTGGGCAAACACACACCCACCCACCCCGCCTCCTTTGCAGAACCAGAGTAAGAGCCCTGGCTGGGAACTAACGCAGGGTTTATATGAAGACATCGATTTTCCTAGTTTAAAATAACCTCACACATGGGTTGATAGTGCAGAATAATCCCTGAGCATATTTATTACGGGGTTAAGGGCATTCGTTGTGCAGCCACAGTTTCACAGCAGCATTTGGGAGGTTGCCAGCCTGTTTCTTGCACCACATGCCCGGTTGCAATGCCACTCCTAAACCTGAAGACCGCTGATCTGTGCCATGTACAGCCCTACTGAGGTGGGGAGAAACCCTCTACAATGGTCCTGTGTCACCCATCTGCAGTCATGACCACAGCGTGGCACCAGCCAAAGGCGTGTTTAATTTCTCTAACAAGAAAAGGAGGCATTAGGTTGCTCCCAGCGCCCCACCACCCTAGGTGGAGTTGGGGGTTAGCAGAGGCTGTTCCTACCACAGGTGTGGATGAACCTCCCCACATCTAGCATGAAGACCCTGCCCCTATGGGCTGTGCTGTCCCATGGTGTTGTGGTTTAACCCAGCTGGCAACTAAGCACCACGCAGCCGCTTGCTCACTCCCCCCCATCCCTCTGGGGAGAGAATCGGAGAAAAGAAAAAAAAAGTAAGACCTATGGGTTGAGATAGAGACAGTTTAATAAGAGAGAAGAATAACAATAGTGATGATAATAATGGTAAGAGAATATACAGAATATATAACACAAGTGATGCGCAATGCAATTGCTCACCACCCGCAGACCGATGCCCAGCCCGTCCCGAGCCGCGATCACTCTCCCCGAGCCACAACCACTCTGCCCGCGACCAACCGACCAACTAACCCCCCCGAGCATGATGTTCTTTGGTATGGAATAGCACTTTGGTCAGTTTGGGTCAGCTGTGCTAGCTGTGCTGTACTCCCAGCTTGTTATGCACCTGGCCAAGCAGGAGAAGCTCAAAAAGTCCTTGAGTAGTCTGAGCACTACTTGGCAACAGCTGAAAACATCAGTGTGTTATCAACATTCTTCTGGTACTAAATCCAAAACACAGCACTATGCTAGCTACTGTGAAGAAAGTTAACTCTATCCCAGCTGAAACCAGGACACATGGGATCCCTCTGACCCAGCTTAGTGACACGAGGTCACCTCCAAGGTGCACCTCCAAGGCCACCTGGCCAAACCAACTTGCTCTTCAGAGAAGTTTTGGGGGAGAAGAAAGAAGGGTTTGCTGGGAAATTGCTTAAGATGCCACTTCAGACTTGCTGGGGAGGGAGGGTGGAGGGGGGGGGTGGGATTCATTTGCTTTTGCATCCTGAATGTTACTGCCAGAGCTCACTTCAGTGACAGCAAGAAGGGGGTTCACTGCCCCCTCCCCAGACCCGGGTGCTCCCCGTGCCCAGAGCAGCACCCTCCACCCTCCCGCTCCCTCCATAGCCGCCAGGTTTTGCCTTCGAGGTCGCACAAAGGCGGCGAGGCACACCACCATGCCCACGCAATGCTAAGGTTCAGCATCTGCACATGCCTTCGGAGCTCAGGCAGCCCCCCGGCCCCCGTTAAAGTTACCCGGTGTGAAACGATCCCTGCCCTTCCGTGCTTTTAGCAGGGCTGCTGGACCTGGGGTGCGCCCTGCGCTCCATCCCCCAGTGCAGCCCCCGCTGCTCTACGCCCCGTCCATCGAATCAACACTCTGCCATCAGCCGCGGCAATGAGCTCGGAGGCTGCGAGGCGATGGCAGGAGCCAAAGCAAGGCTCGACACGCCACTATTAGCTGGCAAATCCAGGGCCAACCTGTCTTCAAACCCCGTGGGTCACTCAACAAGCCAAATGGATAGTTACATGAAATTAAGGACTGTTTTCATTTTGTTCTTTTTTCCCCCCCAGTGGATCTGTTTGATTTTAAAGATTTCCTTCAGCATTTCTGTTGTTTTAATCAGCTGGGGTTTTTTTTCCTGCATTTGTTTCCCTGGTGGTAAATTCATCAGCCCTAAATAGGTAGATTGACAACAGACCGTGATAAAAGTACGGTGAATTTTTACGTGAAAAGCAGGGAATTAAATCATTCACTGGAAAACAGGCCCTGGTGGAAGGCTGCTGTTTCCTGAAAGCTTTCCTTTCAAGCTTGCTTTTTTTTTTTTTTTTTTTTTTTCCTGTTTTCCAAGACATTCTTGCTCCAGTAATCTTTGCGCAGCTCTGCCCTATTTCTGGAAGCTAAAAAGACGGCGAGCTGGCGCGTCGGCTCAGCCCTCACTGACCAGTTGCCCCTGCCTTATCCCTTGTTTGGGGATTTTTGCTCAGGAATTAAATGACAGCAAGGAATGAATTATCCAGCTCCCCTTTTCTAACCAATCCTGATTTCTTTAACTCACATTATGTCTTGCTAATAATCCCGCCACGCATAAACTCAAGCTGGGGATAATGGGAGAACAGCTATGTACATCGCGTGGCAAAACTTCTGCCCTGATTAGGTGGCCACTTTTCCAGCCAGGGGGATTATGAGTGATGAGCATCAGCCCATGTTACGGGAACACAGATACAAGAAGACAAGGCCTTGCCTAAGCATCTTTCAAATAAGACCCAGGAGGACAAATAGTAGAGCATGAGCACGGCCTGGCTAGACTCTCCTTTGGGGAACAGGAGCAGCTCCATGCTTATGAGCTGTGGTTGGGCAGTTTTCCATTGGCTTTCTAGAAAAGTTTGGCTGCTGAGAGGTGAATGAAGATGAATTCTTAGTCTAACAAAGTCTCTCACCTGCAAATCATCTCAATATTAAGTAAGAAAATAAACCAGATTTGGAACATATCTATTTTTCCCTATTGCAGTAGTTGTGGGTCCACCATCCTCTGGGGTTGGCTTTATCTCACCTGAATTCATGTCTCCACAGCACAAATGTAAACATCTGAGCTGGGCACCCCTCATTTAAGATCTAAGGAGAGAAACGGAGAGATGGAGAAAGTGGGTTTTCTGCACTAATTAGAAGTCCACTCTGGGGTGAGACTCCAGGACTTCGTTGACTCTACTGGCTACACCTCCATGGGCTGCAAAGGGGAGCCAGGCTCGGAGGGAGACATTCCCGTGGGTTCATGGGGGTTTTAGCCCACAGCAGCAAATCACTTTGGGAAAAGAGCAGGGGGTGTAGGGATGCAGGCTGCAATGGCCAGCGGTTATTAGGCATAATTGGAGCATGGAGTCAGCACTGCAGAAGCCTCCATCACAAAAATGTCCCGGCCTTTAACAATTTGTTCACTGCGCTGTGCTGACGAAGCTCTGCCTGCAAAGGGTCCTGGCTGTGTGTGGCTTCCTGAAGGAATGAGCTGGTGTAGAAGGGGTGTGGAAAGGCTGGTATAATCCACACAGGGGGAGTTGATTATTTCCCAGATACCTTTTTTATGACTTTGTTTTTATTTATTGGTAGGCAGAAGGCAGCCATGCAGGAGATGGAGGAACTAAGGGGGAGTTGTGAACACCCACTGAAATATTAACATATGACCCAATGTTATTTACTGTTCTTCCCTATATTTCTTTTTACAAAGCAAAATAAAGTACACTTTGCAATTGTCCTTCTTTTTAATATCACATCCCAGCATACTTTTGCTGTATAGGATCCTCCAGCTATGGGATTCACCTCTTTCCCCTACATTTTTTCTGTATTCGCTCTGATTTGCAGATAGTTTGCCTCTATTTTTCTAATAAAAAGCTGTACTAAAAAAAGCTGTGCTTCAGTGCTGTTGGATTCAAGTCATCCTGAATGGGATGGAGGTGGAGGAGGTGAGAGCTTGGGATGGAAGCACCCACTTGGGACCAGGACACCAGCATCTGTGTCTCGATTCAAGCCTTCATCCCATGGCGGGTCTGAAGGGGGGCGTTGTGGGAGACTGAGGCTTTGCTATAGGAATCACTGAGAAGGAACTTCACTTTCCAAGTCTCTCTATAAACATTTGGAAAAGTACATGCAAGGTCCTCACTCATCTTGCTGTAAATCAGTCTGCAAAAAATCAGCCATAAACAGGCAAAA